CTTTAAGGGCATTTAAATGGTCATTGGATAAACATATGGATGATAATTGAATAGTTTAGGTTAGATGGGCTTCAGATTGGTTTCACAGGTTGGCGCAACATCGAGGGCCGAAGGGCCTGTACTGCGCTGTAATGTTCTATGTTCTATGTTCTATGGAACAGTCCCTGCGGAAACCTGACAAGGGGAGGAGATTGTGTATCTGGTGGTGGAAATTGTGGCTAATGATCCTTTGGATGTGGATGCTGGTGAGATGGTAAGTAAGGATTAGAGATACCCAATCACTGTTATGAGAGGAAAGAGAAAGGGTGAGAACAGAAGTCAGGAAATGCATTCCATACGTTGTCAACATGAACTGCTTTCACCACAGACATTTGCATTCACTAACAGTCCCCATTAGCAGATTTTGTTTCTCCCTGACTCACCATTATCCATTTTTTTGCCTGCCCAACAGCTACTCCCTCTCTCTGGGCTCTCTCTCTACTTTTTGTATACACCTTCCCCTCCCTTCCAACCCCCAATCACTGTCTTCAGCACATATACAGTCTTTTCCTAGCTACATTCTGTTCCAAAGAAGGGTCACTGGATCCAAAACATTGAGTTGTCTCCACAAAAGCTACCAGACCTGTTTAGTTTCTCCATCAATTTGCTTCTCTGTTTCAGATTTCCAGCATCCACAGCTGTTTTTGTCCTGGCATTAGTCCTTTAGAAATACTAGTATCCACCTTTAGCCAGTCTGAACAGTGACTCAAAATCCCTCCGCTCTGCTTTTACTTTTATTGACACTTTGCTATCCATTCAGCTGTCTGATCTCAACAGCACATGCTCAGATCTAAGTCATGAGGTCCATAATGCATTAACTAAAGAGCTCTTCAAAGTCTGTGTATTACGTCTGCTTCATTATTCCAAATAACTCTTAAAATAACAAACTAACATTTTAGACAGCCCCTAGTGGGGCTATACAACAGAACAGTATCAAATGGTTAACAGTAACCTACGGAACTGCAATGGAAACTTAACAAATCAAAATAACATTGTCACTCCAGCCTCTGCAGTGCACACTGGTCTCGATGCCTCTATCTTGGACACCACATGCTCCCTCTCAAAGGACCACAGACGTGATCACGAAAGAGGGGCAGCCAATCAGGCACAGTGACTCTCCACTCTGTTAATGTTAACTTTGGCCACTTAGCCTTATCTACCCTTAGTAATACCAGGAATTCAATAAACTTAGTCAAGCATGAACATCCCTGTGGAATTTCGGCTGACAATTATATTTCCAATCTCTAGATCGGCTTTAAGCTAATAGCATCCAATAGAAAAACAGGGCTATAAAAGCTCACTACACAATATTTTCCTGGATTTGTCTGATTTCTCTGTGTAACATGGGAGGTAATGTCAACTGTGATGCTACCAGAGTGGAGTAGCTTTGCCAATACTTTCCTGCAAGGACTAGCCACGTGGTCAGGATACCAGAATGAGCAGGTGATAGCTTCAGATCTTTACTGCAATTTTCCGTATTCCCAGAAAACTTATGTCACAGTTTAATTACTTGAAAAGGTTCTACAAATTTTATTGTAAAGCACAAAATATACATTAGGCAGTTCAAGCAATAAAAGGAAGGCAACAGAAACATACAAATATATAAAAACACCACGATCATTGGGTCAGGGAGAAATCATTAAATAGTAGTAGAAAAATATTCTGCAGTCCTTAACTGTGATAGACAAAGGGTAAGTTCAAATGTTCACCACACAGCTTCCTTTCAGTAAGAGACCCACAACTATAAAATTCAGGGAAATATTTACAAAATCCTTTCAATGAATGCACACAAAACTAACATTTACCCCCCTACCCATGCACCAGGGTCCAGTCCTGGGGCAGTGAGGCACAAAGGTCAACACTTCATGTGGATATCTTCATTGTTTCTAACCATCCGTTCACAAGCACACACGCCACCCTGCATAAACAAGACTGTAGGAGCTCCCAGAGGGTGGCGAAAGTCATTGAGTGTCAGTCCAGATTAGGTACTTCAAGCAGCAAGGTTCTGGTCTCAATTGTTAACCCCATCTGATCTCTTCGGCCCAAGGTTTCCTGAGAAATCACTTGGGGGGGGTACACTGGATATGACCTTCGATATAGACACCCAACCTCATCCAGATTCATCTGACTCTTCACAACAGATGATTGATGCGGTCTAGAACAGAAAATAACTACATCAGTAACGTACAGATCAAGGTCAAGTGAATGGACTCTTGCACACAAAGTACAAGTGGAATGTCAATATTAAGTGGCACTGATACCAAGGCTAAGAAAAAAAAACTACAATGTGTAGCACAGACACACCAGCACACAGGCCAGTATTTATACATCATGGGTCTTCTCCCACCACTTTGTATCATCCCCACTAGCTTATCCTTCTTTCTCACTCATGCACTTACCGAACTCCCCATTTGGAAAGCTCCTTCCCTGACTTCAGGACGTGACAAAACACAACACAGCCAACAAAATGTAGTCGTTGACTTAACTGTTGAAATGCTGCAGCAATAAGCATCAGCAGTAACAAGAAAAAGAAACACTTGCATTTTCAAAGCACCCATCGTGACCATTGAGTGTCTCAAAAGGGCTTTACAGCCAATAAATTATTTTTGAAGGGTAGTCACTTTTGTAATGTGGAAATCTGGATAGCCAATTTTGCACAGCAAGCTTCCACAAAATTGATAATGACTAGATAATTAACATTTTTAAACTAACAGATTAACAGGTAAAATTGATCAGGATATTGTTGGTGGTGAAGGGGTTGGGGGTGGAAGAATCCTCCATTCCTCATTGAAGAGAAAGGTGCCATAGCCACTATTGTATCCACCAGAGAGGACAAACTGTTTAACTTCTCATCTGAAAAACAACTTGACCAACAGCGCAGCACTCACACGGCGCAGCACTGGAGTGTCGTCTTGGACCATGGGGCACATCTCTGGAACAGGAGTGTAAATGCCGTAGGTCACTAGAAAAAGGAGGAGAATTCAAACAGGCTGACATGACCGGACCGGGCCTTCATTTAATACCTACATTTCCCCCCCACCCCCACCCCCAGCAATTCACCATCGAGCAGAGTGTCTCACTGGGGCCATTTCAGGTAGACGTGGGTCACCCTGTTATAGGAAGGATATTATTAAACTGGAGAGGGCTCAGAAGAGGTGTACCAGAGATGTTGCTGGGAATGGTGGGTTTGAGATATAAAAATGGACTGGAAAGGCTGGGACTTTTTTCACTGGAGCGTAGGAGGTTGAGGGGTGATCATTATTGAGGTTTACAAAATCATGAGGGGCATAGACAAGGGTCTTTTCCCTCGGGTAGGCGAGTTCAAAACTAGGGGGCATATTTTTAAGGTGAGAGGAGAAAGATTTAATAAAGGACATGAGGGGCAAGTTTTTTTTTTACATACAGAGGGAGGTCCGTGTGTGGGATGAACTTCCAGAAGAAGTGGTGGATGTGGGTACAGTTACAACGTTTAAAAGACATTTGGATAAGTACATGAATAGGAAAGGTTTGGAGGGATCTGGGCCAAGCGCATGCAGGTGTGGGGCTAGTTTAGTTTGGGATGATGGTTGGCATGGACTGGTTGGGCCGAAGGGTCTGTTTCCGTGCTGCATAACTGACTCTGACTCTGTGGCAAAGTGCCCTGTTTGAAAATGTTGACGAGCTTTAAAAGATAAATGTGATCATTTTAGTGGGAAAGAATCTCTGTGGGAAGTCACAGGCACTGTTTCTGTGTCACTCAGATTGTCTGTGAGAATACATCTGACAAAAACACATCCATTCTGACAACAGGGCTAAAACAACCACACCCTGAGTGAGCCAAAGGAAACACCTGGCATTGACACTAAAAGCAAGTCATTATGTATTGAAAGGGAAAAGGCAGCTAAGGGGAAAGAACTGTGGGGCATGGGTCCAATTGGAGAGCTCCAGTGAAGAGCTGGCACAGCACGATCAGCTAAGCAGACTTCTTCTGTACTATATCCTTGATTTGAAGAATTATATTGATTTTGATTGCATGTTGGAGAGTCTCAATAGTTTAAACTAACAGGATAGATCACCTCTCACCTTTCCACTAGTGGGCAAGGGAATTTGAAGCATAGTCACGAGTCCTAAATCTCAAGTGAACTTGCTCCCATAAAAGTTAATATTTTTCTTTGTTCTTCCTACAGGCTTCAGCTATCTCCCAAATCCAAATCTACAATTTGTGCAAGTTCTGCTAGTGCCTAATAGTGTGCACAATCATAGCTCTAAAAAGTAGGAACACAAGTTCAAATCTCACTCCAGCCATTTAAAAAGACTCTAGAAATATATATTAAAAAAAAATTTGCCTCAGCAAAAGAAACCTGCAAAGTTGACAGAAGATCAACTGGTTCACGAATGTTTCTTTTCAGAAGGACATCAGTTGTTATTATCTGGCCTGAACCTATACATGACTAGTTCCACACCAATCAGCAGGTCAAACTCTGCCCTCTGATAAAGGATCATTACCAGCTGTGAAAATGGTGCTATAGTGGGAATATCACTGGACATTCGTTCAAAACCCACCAGAGCTTCCAGAATTTAAATTCAATTAATAAGTCAGGAATGTAAAAGCTAGTCTCAGTAATGGTGACCATGTAACCACTGGATTGTCATCAGAACCCATGTGGTTCACTAATGCCCTTCAAGGAAGGAAATTTGCCAGTATTACTTGGTCTGCCTAACACGTGACTCCAGGCCCACAGCAATGTGGATTACTCTTAACTAGGGTAATTTGTTGCCCTTCTCTGGGCACTTAGAGAAGGGCAATAAATACCAGTGATACCCGAGCAATGAAATTTATTTTAATAAGTAAAGATGGCCAACACTTTAACAGGCAGTTACCAATGGGCAATAGAGGTTAGTCTTGCCAGTGATACCTATATCTCAGAAAATGTTTTTTGGTTTTAAAAGACAAGCAAAAAATACAAACAAACAAACAAATGCATTTTGAAACAGGAGAAGAGGGTGAAAAAACAAATTGCTGGAAACAGTCAGCAAGTCTGGCAGCATGTCTGGAGACAAAGCAGAGTTAATGTTTTAAGTCCAGTGACCCATCAGAACAGTTCTGAAGAAGGGTCACTGAACCCAAAATGTTGACTCTGCTTTCTCTCCACAGATGCCGAGTTCCTCCAGCAATTCCTGCTTTTGTTTCTGATTTCCAGAATCCGCAGTTCTTTGTGATTTTTTTTTGGTTAGGAGAGAAGAGGGTAACTGCAGTGCCAGTGACTGGGAATACCGCAAATTCTCAGTGACTTGACAATCACTCACTCACCATTAAACCAGTTGATGGAGGTCCAGCTCTGTTCCGTCTCTCTGCTCTGTGGTTTCCTGCACCACAGGGAGATGCTTGACTCCACTGCCAGGACGACCACATCCAGGAAACCTGCCCCTGGGTGGCGCTCCACTCCCTTCTCCCTCACTGCCGCTGGAAATACTCCTCCGGCCCGACAGATTGAAGAGCAGCTCAGGGCTCGATTCTGCGTACGCCTCGGCTTTCTGCGAGAGCAGGAGCTGGAAAAGGGCACTCATCTCAGTCAAGAGGGACCCTTTGACGGCAGACTCCCCTGTCTCGGGATAAAGCTCCATCGAGTTTTTGCCGAAGGTTGAAAAGGTGGTCTTCTCGCCATCACAGATGGGTGGAGGATTCTCGGTTGGCTCAGGCTTGAAGACATTCTCCTTGTAATCAAAGGGCAATGGTGATGGCAACATCCAACATAGCTCCTCTAGACTCAGCTCCTCCCCAGTACTGGCCCTCGCTCCCAATACTGGAACACAAGGAATGGAATAAATGAAACTGGAAGGGGCCAAACATGCCAAGGTGACACTATAGCAGTAACATCACTGGAATAATACCTAGAAGCACAGGCTAATTCTTTGGGGAACAAACCAGAATGCTGGGAGAAACTCAGCAGGTCTGACAGCTTCTGCGGGGAGAGAAACAGAGTGAACGTTTCAAGTCCAATCATTTCTAAAGAAGTTATATCAAACCCAGAGATAACAAGGTGTGGAGCTGGATGAACACAGCAGGCCAAGCAGCATCAGAGGAGCAGGAAGGCTGACGTTTCGGGTCTGGACCCTTCTTCAGAAAATGAAG